TTTCCCCCACAACTCCTGATCTTTGTGGATGGTATAGAGAGGCGAATCCCTCCCCTTCCGGTGGACCTCCATGGGACCTTATTTCGGAAAAGTTATGCATTGAAGTCAATGGAGAGAGAAAGATTATCTTTCGATCCTGTTTGAGTTGTGCCACAAATTACACATATGATGTTTGTCAATTAAAAAGATAATTTTGCAAGTCAAAAAAAAAAAAATGTGTCGTGAAACTGTGAAGTAACACTTTTTTTTGTGTGAAACACTCAATGAACTACATCTCCCGTTTCGCACAAACACCAAGATGGCCGTCACGTTGGCACATTTCACTTCTTTCTTTCAGAATGAGGGGAAAAGTATTAAAAGAGGTGAAAATCACTACAAGTCTGGGCATGTTGAGAGCTGTACCTACACACAAGGGGAGTTAGTCTGTTCCGTAAGAGCCACCATGCGGGACCGGGATTCTGGGATTTGTAGTCTTTCTAGTTGCGTATTTTTCATAGTCTTATATTTCAACAGTTTTACGACAAACTGTGACTTTTTTTACATGGAAATTATTATTTAAAATTGGCAAACATCATATGTATAATTCGTGGCACAATTCAAACGGGATCGAAAGATAATCTTTCTCTCATACAAACTTTTTCCAAAATAAGGTCCCATGGGGCGGAAGTAGATGGGAGGGACTTCACCTCTCTATCTGCATTCAGATGTTAAGCAGAAAATCAGATAACAACTGTACGTATAAGCGCAAGCTAGCAGGGGAGGTAACTATAGAAATCAATCTTAATTGATTTTCTTCACGCCCAACCTTGCGGTGAGCAAAAAGATCACCTCGTATCATGTGAATGCATCTGTAGTTTGGTTGTTGTGATACCTTGTAACTATTTGGAATAAGTATAAAAACCATACTGCATCGTATAGTTCTGAGCCACCTGCTCCAAAGAAATAGAGGGGAGCATTTCACATGTCAGCACATTTCACATAACTGTATTAGGTTAGTTGAAAGCAGTAATATTAAGTTGAACCTAATATTTCTTATTTAGAATTAATACTATTGCTTTCAACTAACCTAATACAGTTATGTGACATTGGTGGACATAATACATTTAATTAAAGTCAATGTTTCAGTTTTTCAGTGCACTAATGGGTCCATAAAATCCAAATTAACTAAATTACACAAAAAAAAGGAATGTCTCAACAGGCCTTTCAACTTCTTATTCCTCTAATTTATAAGAATAAACTCAACGACTAGCTTAAAATTGATTTTGGCAATCTCAATATCAGCATCCCTCTTACTCCTCTAAAGAGAATCCTGATCTAACTGAAGCTTGGTGATTACTGCTCAGAGACATACAAATGGAATGTTGCCCTCTTCTATCTGAGTTGTTGCTGGTTGTGTTCCTGCAGATGGAGAGCACTGCCTGAGGCGCAGCGGCACAGACATGATACCCAAAGCCCGGATTAAGACCCTCAAGATGACCGTTGTAATCGTCAGCTCCTTCATCATCTGTTGGACACCATACTACCTCCTGGGGATCTGGTACTGGTTCCAGCCAAAGATCATCCAGAGCACCCCGGAGTACGTGCACCACATCCTGTTTGTGTTTGGCAACCTGAACACGTGCTGCGACCCGGTCATCTACAGCTTCTACACGGCGTCCTTCCGCTCCGACCTGGCCGACGTGATGGCCTGCTGCTGCCGTCGCCGGGACAACAACGCCTCCCCCCGCTCTGTGGACCGTCTGTCCCGCCGCAGTGGGGGGGCCGCGGTGGAGATGGAGTCTGACCTGAGCTCCAACCAGCACAGCGGGAACCCCAGCTGATGACCCACTGAGGAACCACTCATTGGTGCAATATACCCCATCTTAGTGTCTGATGCCCATCCATCAGTACGGTTTGAACAACTTGTAGCCTCTAGAACAATAGTCTGACTCTGTGGAACTGTGATGAGTCAGCAACAATAGCCTGTTGTATGTATGCACATATATGATGAACAGTTATTGCAAGTATCAATCGAATACGTATATGCTCAATAAATGTCTTGATGGTTCTGACGGAATTCCAGTCTTGTGTGTTACAACCAGTGGTGTAGTGGGGATTTTTTTACTGGTTGGACGCTATTTTAATTAGGTCATCCCAAACAATGCCACATAAGTGCGCACGCGCGCAGTGCACTCACAAAACGGGCAGACAGGTCCACAGAAACTACCGGTATGCTTAGTCCTACTTTAGTTACTGTACTGCAAAAAGCAGACGGCGCTGCGCTCAACACACACACAGACTCAAAACCATGGACACACTGGCACATAAGTTACATAAATAATGTATAGGCCTAAGTTGCATAAGCTACAGTATTGCATCTAAGCAGACAGTGCTGTCTCTCTCTGTGTCAGAGAAAACACCTTGCGTTTTGAAGACTGATAAATCCGAAATGGATGAAAAAACTTTGCAGCCCAGTTTCCCAGCTTTACAGTCTATCCACGGGTATGCCTCTTGTTTCCTCCGCCACATCTCCTCCGTCCATACCTCTGGGGAAGGTGAGCTTATGCTAGCCAGGGGAACGTTGCAAGCGCAGCTAACGTTAACATTAGTGCTGGTATTATCCACGTCTTTAGGCGGCTCTTCTGATGATGTAGTACTAGTAGCAGCTTCACTTGTAGCTTTGGTGCTGTTAGCCTCTTTGTTCTTGTGAATTATAAAAAACGTTTGCCTGCGGCTGCCATTATAGAGCTTTTTCGTTAGCGTTCTTGAGGGAAATGTATTATGTTTTTGTCATTATTACAACAAATACACACTTGTAACTGATAACACTAGCAATTATTTTATATATTAGACTATTAAAAATAAGATCATGCTCCAAATAAGCGGGGGTACAGCGTACCCCCGCGTCCAACGCCCACTACACCACTGCCCAAAGGGGATACATTTACATTGTTACAGCAGAGAAGAGCCAAAGACAGCTTAATGCTACCTAAAGCATGCATGAAAAAAGTATTAAAGATTAAAAAAGGAAATTATATATTTTAAAGTTACACATTTGACCTAATACACACCCTGTAACAGTTCTGCGGATTTAGCAGCACAGTTTTTAACGGCATATATATATTGCACATATTGCAAATATTGCACATAGTTGGTATTTATCAACAAGAGGTGTTATAGTCTGAGTTGTTTTGTGCGGGGTCTAGAGGCTGTGCTGGTTGTATAGTCTGCGGTATCTCTCCGTGAGACAGCGGGGGATGGCGTCAGGTCGACCAGAACAACCTGCTGGCTCGTTGCGGATACGTAAATTCACATTCTAGCACAGTTGCGCTTATACCTTGATTGTTGCCAACTACGATGCTCAACAGCTCGCTTAACGGAACTTTGATGCTGGTATCAGTTTTATTCCCCACCTATCACGGGAGCATCGTGTATAGAAAGTATTGAGTTATATTTCTTGCGCTACCTAACATCCATGAAGGCAACATGACAGAGGGAGACCTGTCACTCAGGATGCCAAACTACTCTTTGCTAAGCCCCGCCCCCCCAAGCAAAATCAGGGTCAAAAGTTTGAAAGCGGAAAAAAAAGATCTGAAAGCGAAAAAAAAAGATCTGAAAGCGAAAAACGATCTGAAGGTGAAAAGCAATGTGAAACCTGAAAAAACAAGATTTGAAACTGAAAAAATAATTGTTTTGAATCTGAAAAC